TCCTTGACCTCTGACCTCAAGATGAGGAATGATAATGGGTTCTATGGGTACCCACAAATCTCCCCTATGCAGACATACCCACTTAATGCTAATATAATGCATTTTGGGGCAAAAACCATGCCGTTTTTTGCATGGGGTATAAATGTGTTAGTCTTGCCTAGTCTATTTGAATATTTCTGCATACTGGGGTCCATAAACAGTGTTGGAATTGCATTAATTATAGTTTTAGAATTAATAGAAAGGTGAGGCACGTACTGAGACAACAAATAGCATCTAATCAGAAGTGCATACTGCTGGAACTGCTAGCCATCAGATGTCAGCATCTGCTAAAAATGTGTATTGTATGGTAATTTATTCCCCACCCAAGTAGAGATGCTGTGGAACGGTGTGGTTGCTACAGCAGTAACAAAAAGGATATAAATCATAAACCGTAGCAGATAAGAGTACACGAGCTACAAACCAACAATTTCTACAACAAAACAACCCAATCTGTTGAAACTAATACTGCAAATGCACAAATCCACTAAAGGACTGATAGTAGCAAACATACAGATGTAGACTACAAGAGCAACTCTGCTATAAGTGCTCATCCCATGGTGGAAGCCTCAGATAAAGAGGTTACATTGTTACTGTATGTGCAGGTCTCTGTCTGTTTGACCCACTTTAGATGAATGATTGATGAGGCTGTAAAGCTGCTGCTTCCCTCTCAATTGTACATGAAGTCTGAATGCAGCCAAGTGATTTATTATCATCACAGTGTTCACTTCGCATCCAGTCCAGGACCCATTAGTCCTTTAGTTTATTCATACTGTAGTAAGGCTGAGACAAAGCGCTTTCGGAGGCATTCGTCAGGGTTCAGTACTTCTCCTCTCTTCCACTATGATGTCTCTCTCCTCTGTCTCTCTCTGGGGAGGAAGGGTGTGGCTGTCGCTATGGAAACCAAATCAGTGAAAGTTGCTGTCATGCAAGTGAAACACTCTCCATCCGTATAAGCATGTTCATACCAGTCCTTATCCTTTGCTTAGAACACTGTCTCAGTATAGGGAAACCCTCTCCTCCATCCCTCTCTTCCATCCCTCTCCTCTCCTTCCTTGTTTTTTTGTCCAATCAACTATTACATCAGATATAATCCACGGTTTGACAAACAAAGGATCGCTCCCTCCATGGGCAGGGCTAGGGCATAAACACACCGGTCATGTGGTTTCTGTCAGTCTAGTTTTTTTCAGAGTAGTTAAAGTGCGCCCCCTGCTGGTTGCATTGTGAAATTTAAAGGGCTCAATTCAATATTTTTGGTTTAAGATTACATAGAATTGCATCAGCACGTCAGCAGGCGGGTTTTATTATCGTTTTATGTTAAGTGGTGGTGAGGATAGCATGTATACATTGATAATATGTATGGATAAATGTGAATGTAAATGGGGAAAATAATAATACAATAAACTGTTCTTGTGAGGGCACTAAACTGAATTTTTACAGTTACTCAAATCATAGAAATCTTTATGTAGAGAACAATAACAGGAAAAAAGGCCATTATTGATGAGGTCTGACTGTATTCACTGTCTTTAAAGACATTTCTCAATATGCATTATCTGCCTGTATCTCTCCACAGAAAGGCTTTACTCCCCTGCATGTTGCTGCCAAGTACGGCAGCCTAGATGTAGCCAAACTTCTGCTGCAGCGCCGCGCTCCACCTGATTCTGCTGGGAAGGTATTCATCCAAAATAAAAAACTTTTTAACTGTATCTTTGTAGTTCTATGAGATGGTGCGTATGATGGTATAAATATGACACAAAGGGAAACTAGTCTCTAAATGTTTTGTTGAACCCTTTTCCTGCATGTAAATATATAAAGTTGTGTTGCTATGTTTCTGTATTGAGGTTAAGTTGCCTGCAAGAGCACCGGTAAGCCTAGTTTGAATCAAATCAGCCGTTCCTTTATTCACATTAACTGAAAATATAAAACAGATAACAGAAGCCTTTTACATCATTTTCTTTGAATATGTTCGTCATAATAAGGAGCCACTCAGTGATCCTTCCAGCTTTTGCTGTCTAATATAACTCTAATTCGTCTTAATCTGCAGTCTTACCCCGTTAACACTTGCTATTAATTGTGTGTGTGTGTGTGTGTGTGTGTGTGTGTGTTAATAGCTGGATGCTGCACTAACTGCTGTTTAACCCATGTGCACTCACCGTCCATCCCTTACAGAACGGCCTCACCCCGCTCCATGTCGCAGCACATTACGATAACCAGAAGGTGGCGCTCCTGCTTTTGGACAAAGGAGCGTCCCCGCACACCATGGCCAAGGTGAGAGTCCACAGAACTTACTCAAACAGGAGGAAATAGTACCTTTCTTAGGGACTATTTTCAGTGGCGGATTTATCCACATTGGGGTGGATCATTGAGTGTTTGGGGCAGCAGGACCGTGTATAAATACAACTACAGTGTGTGTTGATGGTGATGAAGGAACATGTCCTCCAGTGTAACAGTGTGGCTAATTGATTTGTTTTTAATGTTTTAATGTTTTAAATTTATTTTGGACAATAATAGAGCTCTATGGCAGGAAGAGGAAGATATGTAATAGTGATGCGCGGGCCGACCCGTAACCCGCGGGTTACCCGCCGTCGGCCGCGGGTGGGTCGGGTCAAGCAAATGTTCACGTTTATCAGCGGGGCGGTGGGGCGGGTTCATATATCTGCTATTTATTAAGATTTGAATTTGTTGTTGCCTGGTTCTCCACTGCCACTCCAAAAGGGCCCTGTTTTCCAAGCACATTTGTGCAGACGCAAATAAAAAGCCTTATTCACATGACATAATTCAAGGTGTATTGTTAATCAGCCCGCCGGGGCGGGTGGGGGCCGGGTTGTGAAAGTAGATGCGGTTTGTGGCGGATGGAGCGGTGTCCAAATAATTCAAAATGAAATGCGGGACCCGCGAGTTGGAAAAAACCCCGACCTGCGCATCACTAATATGTAAGGCTTTGATACACACAGTACTTCTTAGTAGATATATTTATTGTTGGATTTGCATATGGGATTTGGTGACAGTGAAAATATAGCCAGCCTTATCCTTTAATAATAGTCTAAATGACCTTGTGAAATGTGTACTTTACTCATCTTGAAAGTTTAACCAAAACATTTCGGTATATGAGGGTTGAAGCCGAAATGTCAGCAACAAGCAGTTAACATTCAGTAGTGACACAGTTTCTCTCCCCGTCAATCAGAATGGCTACACTCCGCTCCACATCGCGGCTAAGAAGAACCAGATGGAAATCGCCACGGTGCTGCTGCAGTACGAAGCTGAGACCAACATCCTGACCAAGCAGGGCGTCACGCCGCTCCATCTGGCCGCCCAGGAGGGCCACGCAGAGATGGCTGCCCTGCTCATGAGCAAGGGAGCCCAGATCAACATCCAGACTAAGGTAGTGTAGAAACCTGGGACTCCTCTACGCAACATCACAAGTAGAACCATACAGAACAAGTGTTATGTTGAAGTTTTCATTCATTTTGAGGAACACTGCAATAATTATACCAGTCATATAAGTCCCGCTCATTTTTGCGCTGTACTCCAATAACAGTTGAGCTAGCTAATGTGCATCACTCATCAGCTAGCTAGTTAGCTGGCTAGTTGCTACAGAGCTTTTATCTTTTAACCATCTTCAAAATGTGGTTGCTTTTCAACATAGATAGCTCGCATATAGCATATCTAAGTACAGGAAAGTTGACCGAGGTTCTAAAAGCGTCTGGAATTTAGAGCCACCACACCAAGAATGATAACTATATATATAATATTTGTAACTCAAGTGGATGGTGGAGTACAAACCACAACTACAATGACAAGGCCTGTGGCGAGCGTTCTCTTGACTCCCATCATATTTTTGAACCTATATCCTTCTGGATTTATTTTTATTTATCTGTGCAATGTACAGCAGTAACAGGTCATCAATAATTCTATCCATTTTCCTATTGAGCTGTTATTGTTATAGTTATTGTTCTTCACCTCAACTCAGCTCAAGTTTATTTATATAGCACCTTTCAAACAAACACACAGCCCAAAGTGCTTCACATTGACACAACACATAAAACAAAATAATAAATAAAATTGTGCAAGGCTAAAAATGAATATGAAGAAAACAATAAAATGCTGGTGTGGACGGCCCTTAAAGAAAGGTCAATTGTTCCTTTTGATTGTTGATTAAAGCTACGGTATGTGTGAATACTAAATCAGAAAGTCTACATAACTGATAGAACAATAACATACTGGCTACCATCAGTCCAAATATCTATAGTGACAGAATCCAACAAGTGATGAAATCTTAACCAAACCTGCTGTTTTTAGGGCAAAATCTATCTTCTTTACAATGTTAAATTATCTACATTATCTTATTTAACAAACAAGAATGCACAGAATGTGGTCTGAATGTGGCTGTTATGTGTGAATATAGTAACTGTTCTGTGTGTTCCTCATGCAGAGTGGCCTGACTGCCCTCCATCTGGCAGCCCAGGAGGATAAAGTGGCCGTTGCTGAGATCCTAGCCAGAAACGGAGCAAACCTCGACCAGCAGACCAAAGTATGAACCATCGTATTTATTTCCTTTTCTGCATTTAGCTTTTCTGGTTGTAAGATAATTGTATTAATTCTGTTGAATTTATTACATTATCACAACATTTTACAATGTTTTTACAATGTATTCTTGTATGTAAGTGCTGTATTCTTTGTGTTATTCATGATTCTAACAGATTTGCTGTTGTTTTGCAGTTGGGCTACACCCCGCTAATTGTAGCATGTCACTATGGTAACGCCAAGATGGTCAACTACCTGCTTCAGAATGGAGCCTGTGTCAATGCCAAAACCAAGGTACTGAAACCAAAGTAAATGTTTGCACTCAGATTAGCATAATTAGCATTATTATTAAGTGTACACTTTTTAACATTCATTATTTAATATTTATTCTGTTATTGTATTTCAGTATTATTATTTCTAATGTTAAATATATCTGTACATCACTGTATTGCAGACCAAGACAAAAAACAAATATTCTGTTTCTCATTATAACGAGAGAGATATTTTAATAACATTCTAACAAGATATTTTCATGTTATAATGATTTATTTTTCACACCAAATAATTCTGTTTTTAAAAGAAACTTTTCTTATTTCGTTATATCGAATTTCTCATTCCAACGTATCTCGTCAAAATGGGAAACATCTCTTCCTAATTATAACAATATTTTCTTATTCTTGTATTCAGCCAGATTCTTTGTATTTTATACATGATCCATTTTATATCAGCTGTCTGAATGTTAAGAAACTGTTAGAATAAATCAAACTATGAATAATCAATTTATTAAATGATCGACTTTAATCTACTGGACTCTTTCCTTCCCAGAATGGATACACTCCCCTCCACCAGGCAGCCCAGCAAGGAAACACACACATCATTAACCTACTGCTGCAAAACGGTGCCAAGCCCAACGCTATCACTGTGGTATGTACACACACATACACACACACACACACTATACAAAGACCGACACACATCTCATTCACTGTGCTTTTTCGTCCAGAATGGTAACACGGCTCTAGGTATTGCTCGGAGGCTGGGCTACATCTCTGTGGTGGACACACTGAGGGTTGTCACTGAGGAGATCATCACTACCACAACGGTATGTACCACACGCCTACAACATTTAAGCAACAGCAAATTCAATTCCTTCAAATTTTAAGGTTATGTGATAGACAGCAAGAATCTGTGCTGGAATGGAAATGTGTTCATGTGGAAAACAAATAAATAATGATATCATTAACCATCAAATGACAAGATATTATCTGATAATTTATTGCACTTAGGTTACAAAACAGACAAAACCATTCACCATCACTGTTGTAGAATAAAAGACGGATAAATATGTAAACACTGTGCAAGTGAAAGGTGAAATAACACATTCTTCTGCTTGCAAATACAAAGTGCAATTAATAAACAATAAAATGCACTCTTGCTCAATTAAATCCACTCAGAAATGTTGCTGCTATAGCCTTACTTGTATGACCAGTAGCTTATGGTGGCTAATGTTAGAAAACTTAGCAATTTTTGTCAGGTCATCTTATCATGATGTCTTTAAAGAAACTGACACAAGGGTTGGGGGGAAATAAGTAACATTCCATGTGCCATCATCCTGTTAGCAATCAGAAAACCAGGCTAACTTTAGTTAAAAAGTGAATGTTTTTTTTATAATTAATATTAAGTTTTTTAGAATCATTGTTTCAAACATATTTAATGTGAAGCAGGTCCAAACTACACACTGAAATAAACAGTTTAAGCAGTGGTCATATGTAATATACAGTAGTTAGCAAAAAAATAAAACATTTTGAAGTAATGTATTTTGAAAGAAATGTAGGTGTCGTTTGATTTATATCAGTGCATAAATGGAAGCAACTGAAAGCATCCTGGATCAGATGTGTCTGCCAAACAGTTGGATTCATTATTGATTTCCACAGAACAAACTAGCAACTCATATTTTGAGTTACTTCATTTACAATGACTTTACAGTCTTTACCCCTTATTGCTTGGAGTAAATATTAGAAACACCTTTCTGTAAACTGCAATATAATTCACCACCAGTACAAAATACAGCCTCCTCCTAACCTTTAAGACGGTAGTACTTATTGCAGGACTGTTGGATTAGACTACACTGGTTTCAGCTGAGTGTATGGTGTGAACTTAAGTTTAATGGGATCTGTTTCGTCCCATACTGGCAGACGGTGACAGAGAAACACAAGCTGAACGTGCCAGAGACCATGACGGAGGTGCTGGATGTGTCGGATGAAGAGGGTGAGTTAACATTGTGGCAATGTGGCTCCAGAATGGGAACAGATCTCTCAGTGGTATCCTAAATATGTGTCCAACAACACTGTGGAGATTAACTAGATCAACTGTCCCACAATAAAGTCCTCTTTTGACTTTCAGTTGAGCCCAGTTTAGCTTACTGGTTTGTGTATGTCATCCAACAAGACAGGTTCCCTCCTTACAACAGCTCGTCAGTTAGTTTCCATCACTGATAGTAAGGAACTTTTACACGTCTGTAAAATCACCAATGCCTCACTCTGCCTTAAAGCAGCACTAATAAATCATTTTATATTAACAGTGACTGTGTAGGCCTGTCAAGATAACTACTTTTGTTGGATGATATATTCTCCCAGGGATAACTGCGAAAATATTGTCATTTTAAGACCATTTTATCATATACAATGATTAAAAAATACTATAACTTTACTTTCCACCCTGAAACCTTTAATTGCATGTCATATTTATAGCAGGAACATTTTCACTGTGTGAATATCTGCTATTGGCATCAGTATCAGACTTCAAAAAACCCCATCAGTTTCATCCATGTTCTATTTTAAGCCCAAAGTGTGTTTCTGTCTCACTTTGGAGAGTTCAGAGGTCTTTTCTGCCATCAGTAGATTTTAGGAGGTAGTGAGTGATTGTGCTGTCAACCCACAGCACTGAGAAGCATTGATGATGATGATGATGATGACATGTCGGACGACCCCATGGATGAAGGTATTCAGCACGGTGCTTTGTGTGAGGACTTGCTGTACTGATTGTACCAGGAGTGGAGTATTGTGCTATGCATGGTGAATGAGCCTGTAGCAGATGCTACAATACTAACTGTAATATTACATTTGGATATCAGTGACGCAGAGAAAGAGAGGTTGAATTGAGCAAAAAATATTTCCCTCATGAAGTAGAACATTTAGTTTTGCTCAAAGCATCAATACACATAATGTCCTAAAGTACATTTAAAGAAATAGTTTTGAGAAATTGACTTATTTGCTTTCTTTCTGAATTCAAGCTGAAATGAGCAACAACAGTCTCATGCCAGTGCGTTAAATTGGGGTTTTAAGCTAGCTAGCATAATGCAAGGGCAAACAGCTAGCGTGACTCCAAAATTAAAAAGTACACCTACTAAAACATGTAAAGCTAACTAATTAACATGTTGTATCTTGTTGTACTTCAAACAGAAATGTAAAAAATTAACTAAAAAGAATGTGTGGTTTTAAGGGGAGTTATGTAAAGAGAGCCAGGCTAGGCTGTTTTAGCTTGACTGAATGTTGTTTTGCTAGTGGATATTTTCTGAGAATGTTTATTCTCCGGAGAAGTCGGAGAAATTCACATTTAAGACACAAATAGTAAAATGAAGCCACGTTTTTTTCTTTGCCCACAGTGTTGTCACTTGAAAGCTTATTTCCAACCCCACGATGATGCAACTTAATCTGCAAGTGTTAGCATTAGCATTACAAGTCATTAGATTTGATAGCCCAGAGATGTTTTTTGTGTAGTTGAGGGCCACTTTGGAATCAGAGTGGGTATTTTAAAGGTATTATTTATGGGGTTTTTATCTAATTTTAAATACAACAGTGACCTACATTAAAGAGAAAAGAGAAGGAGTAAGGAAACTCAGTCAATTAAAATGTGCTTTATCTCCTTACACTCTCCTTCTCCAGGTAGCCAGTATACTAATTGCACCAGAGCATCTCTGTCTAACTACAGTATGTTTTTTCCATTATTATGCTGGTGTAGCATAATGCTTTCAGCCAGACCTGGGCCAAAGTACAGCTACTGCTCCTGCATTTACCACAATACCACATGGCTGCAGCCTGGCACACTGCACTCTCAGGCCTGTATCACCTACTGCCCTGAAGGTTAAAACTTGTTTTATATTGAGACATGGTGGATTCTTGCAAATGCCATTAGGGGCACTAGGAGAAAACAGAGGAACCAGATTTTTTCACAGATTATCTGTCTCGTGTACTACAGTCAGGATATAGTAAAAAGTTTCTTTGAAAATGACAAAAAGTTACCTACTGCAGCTTTAATGTACAAACCAAATCTTGACATCTTGATTTTGACAGCAGACATCTTGACTTTTTACAGTAGAAAAAGCACAGGTGTTACTAATAACATTAATAATGGCTCTGTTCTATTGAAGTGTCCCAGCCAGCTATGACAGTGTGACAGTGACCCAGCATGCACAATACCACCACCCTGAAACTAAATGGAATACATTAAATTAGTATTTACACCCTAACCCTGATGAGCAAGATAAAAAGAAATTGAAAATTCCAAAGCCATGTCCAACCCCTCCAGTGTTAAGAGCATCATCATTATGAATTTAATTTGTGTTAGAGAGGAGACACAGAGTCACAAACACAATTAGTAAACTAAAAAGCCCCAAAGGTTCATACTAAATAAAAAATGTCAAGATTCCTTTATTTTTTATAATTCATTTACATCAGAAATTTAACTCATCAGTTAACTTTACACTGTATATATATATATATATGTATATATATATATAATGTTATTTTTTTATATCCCTGTACATATGCACATTACTCTGCACTTTGCACTTCTGGTTAGATGCTTAACTGCATTTCGTTGTCTTAGTACATGTACTTGTGCAATGACAATAAAGTTGAATCTAATCTAATCTAATCTAATCTAAAACTTTATCATCTTTTTTATCATCACATTCTTACACTAACATCTAAAAGTCTGTTACAAGACTTCATTTCAGTTTGAATTTCTCTTCTTTTAACACACATAGGCCTGAAAGTGGAGGTGTTGATGTGCCACACAAGCTCCAGCAGTCCTCTGAATATACTGAAACAGAACATTTTGGCCCAGGTTAACCTGCAGCCGGTAGTGACGCTACCCCCTGCTGTACAGTAGTGGAACAGCAGTAGAGCTTTGTCACTGTGGTGCAGATAACACATGATGATAGAGAATGCTGCCATAACATGCATCTGTCTGGTGTGAGACGACAGAGGGAGGAAGGAATTGTAGATGTTTGAATTTTCATTTTTGAGCACTTTTAAGAACGTTATGTTGATTTAGAGATATTGATTTTTTATTTATTATAATAGCGATTTAAAGTTCATTCTTGACCTTGGAAGCAGTGGTTGCCAAGCAAAAGCTGCTAAATGGTCCTTGTGGTGAGATTGTTGTTGTTGTTGTTGTGACAAGTACTTTTTCCAGGGATAAGAAAGATCTCTGTTCTGAGCTAGTTTCCATAGAAAGCCCTTTACAGAAGATGACCTGATTTCATGTGTTGAATAAATTATGTTTTTATTTTAAAATCTACAAGCCAAAGATAAAACAATATTTCCTCCTACTCTACTTTCATTAATAATAATTGCCTAGTATCGCAAGTATTATTTTATGCTAACATGTTAGCATTGGAGCTACATTTGGATAATTTGATGTCTAGGTTCATATTAATCAATAGTAACTTAATAGCCGTCAAAACTTGGAATGTTCCTTTAATCAGTTCACCTTCTCTCTGCTTTACCAAGGCGATGACACGATGACGGGTGATGGAGGGGAATATCTGAGAGCTGAGGACCTCAGGGAGCTGGGAGACGACTCCCTGCCAGGACAGTATCTGGATGGAATGAACTACCTCCGCTTCAGTCTGGAGGGGGGACGCACAGACAGGTACGGCTAACTCTGTCACATCTTTAACTTCTGGTAGCTAACAAGAAACTGGAATGATTTGATTACAGTTCAACTAACTAAAACTCCCTGGAAGTGAAAACTTTGTTCCTTGTTCTCCATTTACACAGTTTTAAAGCATGGAGTAAAATCAGCTGTTGTTGTTCCTATTTAAACATATAATCCCTTTTATAAAATCTAAAACCCATGTTATGTTTCAGTGTTGAAATGGTTCCCTTTTGCCCCTTTTCCTGTCTAATGACTAATGTTACTGGTTGAATCCATCAATATATAAAAGATGGACGTTGCATCTCCACTTTCTCCCATTGTACAAAAATGAAGTCGAAATATCTTGCACTACTGATGTCCTGTTCATACGCCTGGCCGACTCAATCGCGAGCAGGGCTCAGAGGATGTAACACCTTTTTTATAGCTTCTATTTATCAAATAGTTAAACAAAAAACATCAAAATACATCAGGGTGATAAGAACTACCTAAAATGAGATAACCCATCTTTGGGGAAACATATTTGACATGTTTTTTGAGTTTGTCCAATCTGTTAACATAGGGGCAGCATGCTTTATGACTTATACTGCAGTCAGCCACCAGAGGGCGATAGAGATGTTTTGTCTTCACTTTTAGAAAGCTGTCATGTCATCCATCTTTTATATGTTGATGGTTGAATCAGACTTCATCATGAATCTCTGTGTGTATCTATGACACGTCTCCTGTTGAGGACAGTAAACTCAACAACTAACCGCCTGTATATGTGTATTTGTGTGTATGTTTTGCAACCTTTCCTGCTCATACTTCATCGTTGGTCTCCCTTGTCATGCCTCCATAGTCGAATGCAAAGGTATGTGCTGACGCTGGCCAAATATGTGGCCTTTTAAATCTTCAGCACTGCTGAAATAACCAGTGTAACAGTCTGGCTCTGACTGGGTATTGAGGACTGATTCCTTTCACCACCTTGGCCCAGACATGACATTTTGTACAGAAATTCATTGTCATCAGGTCAAAACTTTAATTTGTCAAATACTTTGGTTAATGACCAAATACCTGGAAAAACTAAAGACATTCCCATCAACCTCAGCTCAACTTCGTGTTAATTGGCAAATGTTAGCATGCTAACATAATCCCCCAAGATGGCGACCATGTTACACATTACTTAACATCAGCATCAGTGTGAGTATGTTAGCATGCTCATGTTTAGTAAAGTTAGTCTTACTAGACTTGCTAGTGCAACTGTTGAGTGGTTAGCCTTGTTAATTGTATGTTATGTTTGCCTGCTAAGCTAGTAAAATGTAACATGTGTGTGAGACAGTGCTAGCCTATATTTTCTTCCTGTTAAGAACAACTTTCTCCTCCTCTGCTCCAGTTCCGACAGGTCCTTCACACCCACCCACCACAGCTACTACTCCCCTAAACATGAGGGCATGATGGATGAGATGCTCAACTGTCACCAGGTACACTTCATGGTCAGCATAGTCCGGTTGGCTATGACCTTTAGCTATAGCTTTAGCATCACCTGAATGCCTGAGAATCTTCATTCTTTTGGCAAAGAAATCATACAGTCATTATATTCAGTTAGTATTGTTCCATTCAATAATTACTGGTAGTTCTGGGCAGTACCAGATGAATCGGTATACCAGTTCAGCAACCACTGGCATTACTGAAACTGTTCCTATATCTTTATTAGTTTGAATTTCTGTTTTTACCATGCAGTTGTGCACAATAGAAACTGTGTCATGCATTCTGATTCCTTCACATATTGTATCATAATTAGCCAAGAAAATGCTATTTTTGGTCATACTGTCCGGTATATGTCTAATAAGAGGTTCATTGTTTGATTCCAGATTTCTACATTGGCCAGGGAGAATGATTCTTACCGCCTGAGTTGGGGCACAGAGAATTTGGACAATGTGGCTTTATCCTCCAGCCCCATTCACTCTGGGTAGGTACTGTCAGACTGAAGGAAAGAAGTGTTCACAAGGAAACAAATGTTACACTCATACATTGAACACAGGATGAAATGTAGACACAGTCTGAATATACAAACATGCATATTCTTGTAAATTATGAATATTCATGAACAATTAACCCAGTCTTATTAAGGTCCTGATAGCTGAGCTGCTATTGTGTTTCAAGTACTTAATTATATTAAATTATAGCGTTTCTTAATGAGTATTAATTAACTTTCATTTAAAATCAGTGTTTCAATTATCTGTTGTGTAGTGCTCAGGGTGTGCTGGTGGAATGCTTTCTCTTACATGGCAGCTGTTACTGGGAATAGATTTTACCTCTGCAGTACAGCACATGAAGAAATGTAACATATTGTTATTTTGTAGAGAGAAGAAGAAAAGAAAGAAAGTTCTGACCTGTTGTAGTTTGTCACTAATCCTCCCCAGATCCTCCAGTTGTCTTTTAAGCAGCTTAAAGCAGCAAAAAAAATGAAGTAATTAGCGCCATATATATATGTGCTAATTTCCATTGAATTTCCATTACCCCAAAAGTATAAATTTAGTAACAAATCCTACTGGGTCTTCACACTTGGGTCAATGTAGAAGTTCTTCCCAGACCAAAGGCTGCTTGGTGAAGTGTGATTCCTCTTGGAGCATCAGTCAGGGGTTAAAGAAATATATTCAGGAATACACTTATTTGCGAGAATGAGTGTGTGTTTAGTAGGGAGCAGACGTCAGGATGTGGTTAGCCTAGCTTAGCATTAATACTAGAAATAGGTGGCGACAGACAACAAATTATTAATTTAAACACATGTGTGTGAGCAGCTAGCTATTTCCACCTGCTTTCAGTCTTTATGCTAAGCTAGGCTAACTATGTCTTTATTCCAGCTCCATACTATAAATACTGATTTAAATTACCACTACAGCATATAGATGGTATTTATATTAATGTTATGTCAGCGCTTGTTGAATGTGTTTGACCATGGTTAAAAAAATCTATGTAACTGCGCTGTGTCTTCCACAACAAGTTGCCTTATTTTCTTTATTCTGACGCTCTCATGTCTGCCCTGTTTTTTCTCCCTGGGTTCCTCTTTTTTCGAATTGTTTCTGCTTGACTTTTGATTCCTTTTTGTCTGATGTGGTTGTTGTTTTTAGCCATTCCTCTCCGTGCCATGATCATGGAGACCACAGCAGGTGACCTTCTGCACCTTGGTTAAATCGTTTTCCTCCTCATCGTCATCATTCTCTTCCTCCCCCTCACAGTGTGCTCTCCTGGTGGAGAGGTGTATGTGTCACTGTCCTCAACAGACATCGCCTCATATACGTTTGTCTTTGGGTTAACAATGTGTCAGAACATTTGAATCTGACTTAAATTATGTAAATATTATGCCCAAAGTTTCACATTCCGTATCCCAGAGTCTCCACATGGAAAGATCATGTGATACGGCAAATGAAGGATTGTGGATATCTGGGCCGAAAGAGGCGGTGAAAGTTGAGGACATGTTTGTTGATTTCATACAGTGTCTCGTGAATTGTGCATTTCCACTAACATACCCACCAAAATGTTAGCCTGAGGAATATTTTGGAATAAAATAAGTATTATTGTATACCATATACAGGAAAACTCTTAAAGTAAGAAAAATGACATGTTTTTATTTTCTTACTATATTGAAGTAAACCACTGAGGTAGGTTTCAGCAATGGAGGTCAGCAGTCTTTGTCTTCTAACAGTTTACTGGTTCTGTTGCTGAATTCAATAACAAGTGTTTTTATGTCTCTGTGTGTTCTAAAAACTGTGTGTTTGTTTTACTGAAGCCAGGGCAAAAATTACATTAGAACTGGGTATGGTACCAAATTGTAATGTCACCTCATCACAGCCATAATCCCCTTCACTGAGATGTGTGATTCATGTGCATACAGTATTTGCCACTTTGCATGGGTAGCGGGCCCAAAGAGCCTCAAGTTATGAAGTAACAACATTTAATGCAAGTTTAAGATTCATCAGGATGGAGCCATTGATCATTGTGACCATTCAGTGTTGAGAAAATAGACACCAAAATAGCAAAATTGCCCCAGTAGATCACTGTCTGCATAGTCATTCTTATAAAATATGACAAGTGATAGTAAGAATACTGACTTTTTAGTTATAGTACTGTTTAACATTATAGAACCTGTTCATTTACAGTCGTTTTTACATAAAAACTAAATATTGCCTAAAGCACACGTGACATTTTCTAACTATAGAAGTTTTGAAAGAAGAAAACACCACCTTGTTCCTCTTCTTTTTAATTAAAAAGTTGAATTGATTGCTCTGTTAAAGGCCCAGTGTGTAACATTGAGGAGGCTCTATTGTCAGAAATGGAATATAATATTCCATTCATATATAAATATAGGTATGTTTTCATTACTGTATAATCACTTGAAAATAAGAATCATTGTGTTGTCAGACGCCATGCGTTGCCTTAATGACTGGTCTGTAGTTGCGTTACTCTAACATTACATTTTAGCCTTCACTGTTATTCTGTAACTGCACATCTAAGGGCATCACAGACCTG